TAGTCTTCGAGATCAACTCAAAGATCCTTTCAACAATTTAAGTCTAATGTAATTATCTCCCAAGTCCCCGACTATGGAGGCTTTTCCCTGTTTTGCATAAATGTTTCACAGCAGATATTACTCACTGATCATGATAAAATATCTCAGAAGAGATAAACACACTCAACTATGCAAAACAATTTCTATACTTGGCAATGAACTAAAAAACTAGGATAAATAAGAGTATTTGACATCAAGTCACCAACTGACCAAAACAAAACAAAAACTGCTAAAACTCTCATTTGCAAAACAATACATAGTGCCGCAATTACGAAGTGACCCATGCCAGAGAAAATGCTGGCATGTGACTGAAAGTGGTGTAGAAGTAGTGGAAAGAGGCCTATATGAACTATATGGCCTAGGAATATCAATATTGAGTTACTAAAGACATATGAGGCCTATAGAAATCAGCAAGTGCTACTGAATTATATGGCCTAGGAATATCAATATTGAGTTACTAATGACATACATTCAGCTTAAAAGCATGTAAATCTCCTTCTAGCCTTCCAGAACAAAAGAAGGAAAACTTTTAGAATCTTACCTTCTAGCAGACAGCAAAAGCTGTTCTGCATCCACAAATTTATTTGTCTCGATTAAAGAGCAAGCAGTGTTATACGCCAGTTCAAAGCTGCTTGTTGGTTTAACCTTGAGAGCTTCCAGAACTCTTTTCACCTCGGATGAGCGTCCTGCTCCCACAAGACCAGCAACGAAGTTGATCTCTAGCGAGTCGATACCTAAGTTTTGAAGCTTTTGATAAATGTCTAGGCAAGCATCCATCCTTCCCAAACGATACAATATCTGGGATTCTAGCAACATAGTTGCAGTGCTCCTCTCCTGACTTTGCAAGGATTCCAAAGCTTCATCTAGTTTGTTTAGCCTGTACAAACAATATGCCTATGGAGCATATGACCATAAAAAAGAGCATTTACTAATCCATCAACAAACAAAACTTGAAATGAGAAGCATATGATTGGCAAAATGATAACTGCATATGGAGAGAAAGGAAGTCAAGACACTTAAACTTGAGTAAAACTTGAGAAATCATTGAAACAGACAGGGAAAGAAATAAGCATATCTATAAATTCTTTTCCATATTCCAGACCCACCCATAAATATAGGATACAAGCAATCTAGTCAGTGACATTTTAACCACGTGGTGCAATGATTTCGCTATAGACTGGACCCCGCATCACATTCCTAAATAACTAAAATCCATCTCCAATTGAAATAATGCATCCAGGACTCCTATGTGCACAAGGTCCAACAGAAAAAGAATTCAAAGAATGAGGAAACTTCATTGGTATTAACTCAAATAACCATACACTAATACCATGTATTAAATTTTTGAGGTAGTAAAAAACTGATGCCTTATCCAATGGAGTCAAAAGATTCAATGTTGTTTAACTTTCAGGCTATATTGGACTAAAGAATTTTAAATGTCTTATTAATTTGCCGATGTTTCTTTTCTATTATGAGGTAGACAGGTAGTACACACGTGTCCTATCAGATTACAAGTCGACCAAAAATAGCCCCTTGTTATCAGAAGGATAAGATTGTGAATATACTCAAAACTAGAAACTAAACCATATGAGGATTGTAAGCACAACCAAAAAAATAAACCTCAACATCCAACAATAAGCTAGGTATTGCTGATGTGCCTTTAACACGGATATACCACCATTAAAATCCCTCTTTCATTTTTTGGGCAATTGGTATGCTTCCAGATGTATACTGTAGCATGCTGTTTTTTCTAATTCAAATATAAACAGAAACCAAGGTAGAACATCAACGTCAAATATGAGTTACAAAACTCAACATGTTCATACCTTCAGGAAATTTAGATCAATCGGAAGCCTCTGTGAAGACTGAATAACCGCAAAAGCTTCATCAATGTTATCAGCTTTGATTAGAGCTACAATCTTGCACCGAAGAGCGTCCTCATCACCCGGAGCACTTGACAGAACTAAAAGAGTGCTTCCAAAAATTAAAGTTAGAAAATTATCTGAATAACTGAAACTTTGATATAGACAGAGAGAGGAATAGAGACCTTGTTCTGCAACTTTGGTGGCCTGCTCATATTCTGAGCGTCCAATGAACTTATTAAGAGAAGTAAAGAGATCCTCAATGGCAATGGTGGGCTGTGAGGAAGACCCTTTAGGTTTCTCCTTGGCTTTTGGTGCCATTGACTAAAATAGTAAGCCAAAAAGGAAAAGGATCAAACTTACAATAAACAATAATAAGAACTTATATCTGAATATAATAGAGAATAGTTATAAGAAGTAAAAACCCAAATGCTCAAAACATCTCTTCATCAAAGTCTAATAGACAAACCAAATTTAAACGTATTCCAATTGATTCAAGATTTCAGTCACTAAATCTTTATAGCAAATGAGATGTACCAATATGAGTTAAGATGAGCAAGTAGACAAACTAGTTACTAAAGATAGTGACATAACAAGGATACAGCCAACACGCACGTACACATAAGCTCAAAAAGAAAGTAAACATCAGTTTACACCATGGTTTCAGTTTGATTCATAAGCATAGCATGAAAACCACCAACGAACACTTAACCAATTTCAATTGGTGATCACAGAATAACAAGTAGATTGTCTCGCACAAATTACCTGCACTGAGCCAACAAATATTGTTATGTTGTTATTTCTAATAGATATCATTCTGCAAGAATTTCCTCAATTCCAACCCATGACAATCATAAAGCAAAATCTACTCTAAAAAACCCCATCCACCCCTATCAAATCGAGATCATTGCACACAAGTGACACAAGCCACAAAACAATTAAAATTAACACATAAAAACAGAAAGAAAAAAAAAAGTTGAGAGTTTCACAAAAATTAAAATTAAGAATGACGGGGTTTTCATCAGATATAAAAAAAGAGGACTGCATCTAACTGTAAACCTTTCTCTTTTAATTTTCGATCCTCAAATTTAATGGAAAGAAAGAAAAAGGGGGAAAATCTATAGTTTGAGGCAGGCATAAAAATGACAAAATAGCCAAATTTGTGACAGAAGAAAAAAGAGAGGAATCCCAAACCAAAGATTTAAACACAAGCAAGATGAAGCTCTAATGGCTAGATCGGAGAGACGGAGACCAAGTTGAAGATAAAGATTGATGGTTAGAACTATGGAAAGGAGTCCAGACTTGAGAAAGAGAAAGTCTGTAAACCTCCCTTATATTGTTCCCCAATACTTCGTATGCATCCTATCCTCTCCCAAATTTTTACTTCATTATTTGGCCATACTTCTAGTAACATTTAATTTTAAACGCCAGGAAAAACTAACCCGACCCAAAATCAATCAAAGCCGACTAAATTCAGCCTAGATTGGCATACACAGTTCTGACATTTGATCACTTAAAAAAGGCAGTCAATTCAAAACCAAAAAGAACAATACAAAGTTAAAATCTAACTCCCAATCGATTAAAGAAAAAAATGTCCTGTTATTTCAACTATAGAATTAAAGATTAGTCATTTACTTAGGAACAACAATATCAAGGGGGGTAGCTTAATATAATTACAGATTAATTAGTTATTTGATTTGTACAAATTTCATTTCACATTAACATTATGTCAATTTCACCAAAAAAAATCAGCAAAACTATACAGAATTCTAAATTAAAATTCAATCTGTATTCACTCTTAACCAGGCCCGTCCCTGAGGAAGGGCAGGAGGGGCGGCAACCCTGGGCCCAGGGAAAAGAGCTCTGATTTCATAGTTGAATCCTAACATTAAAGTGTTGTGCAATACGTTAGCAACCAAATTTGATTCAATTATCTCATAATTTTAGGGATATTTGATTCAATTATCTCATAATTTTAGGGATACTTGATTCAATTCTCTCATAATTTTAGGGATATTTGATTCAATTATCTCATAATCTTAGTGATATTTGATATGATGATAACGAATACAAACAACTTACCTCAGAAGCTGCTTCAATGGGGATACAAGAACTAGATTCAACGGAGAACGGCAACTGCGCTTCAATGGAGAACGTTGAATGCGCTTCAATAGAGCAATTCAATGGGATGGACGCCTTGGATCCCTATTAGAAGCCATGAGTCCCATGACCCATGACCATCCTACTAATAATAAATGGGCTGAATCTTTGTACGATCGTCTAATTATGGGGTAGGGCAGACCTTATGAGGGTTTAGAGTAAACCTGTTTTAAAAAGTACGGATTATTAGTTTATCTTTACACCTCTATTTCTCAAATACTATCCAAAACTTGTATAATTTGTCTGGGAGGTTTTTTTTTTTTTTTTTTTTTTTAAACTCAAAAATTTCTAGGCGTTTTCGCGTTAGATTTCCGAAAAAAGGCGTTTCGTATCAGAAAATTTAAATAAAAAAAAAAAAAACCTTGCTTCGGGTGACGACGACCTTCCTCTTATCTCCTCCTCAGCATTTCCGCGCGATAATCAGGTAGATCTAGTAGTAGTGGTGGTAAAGGAGGTGATGGTGGGTGGTAAAATTAAAGGAGGTGGTGAAGGAAAATTGAAACTTCGAGATCTTAATTGCAATGATAAACTTGAAATATAACTAAAGATAAGCTTGAAATATAATAGTCCCTGCTCTAAACTCTTTACAACAAAAATCTTGTGCCTATTGGAATAAGGATACAACGACCAAAAATTAAACAAAATTCGGATTGATGGTCAAGATGATAAAGTGAAGTGAAATAAATTCACTTATGGTGGTGGTGGTGGTTTATAGAGAGAAGGAGTGAGGGCGAGTTAGATATTAATTATTTCTGTTTATATGTGAGTTTAAATTTGTAAAATAAATTTTATTTTGTGGGTGTTAATTGGATATTCGAGGGCAGTGTTTCAAAAAAATACTCGTAGTAATTTAACTCTAAATTATTTAGTCATTATTCTATCCATATAAGTTAAGAGCCTAGTCCAAATTACCTCAAAGTTTACATCTTATTTCTAACCCTTAGTGTGTATTTGTGCTCAAACAAGTTTTTATTTTTATTTAATTTAAACCATCACTCTTCTTCTTCTTTCCCCCAACTCACGTACTACATTGTTGTTGCCCTTTGCTTCCCCCATTCACGAACAACACACACAATAAAAAAATAAAAATCGCTGCACCAGACCATCGCCGCACCTGCCACCGCAGCCACCATCGCCTAGAACACCGTCGCCCAGCCAGTCGGTCCCCCACTCTCCTCCTTTTCTATCTTTTTCTCTTTTCTTTTTTAAATTCCTTTAAAGCTTCAATTTTTATATGATTTGTTCCATGATTATTATTTATTATGATTTGATCTGTATATGGATTGCAAAAGATTGCAAATTTACGAGTTTTATGTTTAAAATATGAAATTGATTTTCAGATTTATTTAATTGAGAATTTAAGGGTTTAAACCTTGATTTTTCATGATTTTAGGGCTTAAAACGTGTTATTCAAGTTTTGGATAATATTTGAGAAATAGAGGTGTAAAGATAAACTAATAATCCGTACTTTTTAAAACAGGTTTACTCTAAACCCTCGTAAGGTCTGCCCTACCCCATAATTAGACGATCGTACAAAGCCTCAGCCCATTTATTATTAGTAGGATGGTCATGGGTCATGGGACTCATGGCTTCTAATAGGATCCAAGGCGTCCAACCCATTGAATTGCTCTATTAAAGCGCATTCAACGTTCTCCATTGAAGCGCAGTTGCCGTTCTCCGTTGAATCTAGTTCTTGTATACCCCATTGAAGCAGCTTCTGAGGTAAGTTGTTTGTATTCGTTATCATCATATCAAATATCACTAAAATTATGAGATAATTGAATCAAATATCCCTAAAATTATGAGAGAATTGAATCAAGTATCCCTAAAATTATGAGATAATTGAATCAAATATCCCTAAAATTATGAGATAATTGAATCAAATTTGGTTGCTAACGTATTGCACAACACTTTAATGTTAGGATTCAACTATGAAATCAGAGCTCTTTTCCCTGGGCCCAGGGTTGCCGCCCCTCCTGCCCTTCCTCAGGGACGGGCCTGGTTAAGAGTGAATACAGATTGAATTTTAATTTAGAATTCTGTATAGTTTTGCTGATTTTTTTTTGGTGAAATTGACATAATGTTAATGTGAAATGAAACTTGTACAAATCAAATAGCTAATTAATCTGTAATTATATTAAGCTACCCCCCTTGATATTGTTGTTCCTAAGTAAATGACTAATCTTTAATTCTATAGTTGAAATAACAGGACATTTTTTTCTTTAATCGATTGGGAGTTAGATTTTAACTTTGTATTGTTCTTTTTGGTTTTGAATTGACTGCCTTTTTTAAGTGATCAAATGTCAGAACTGTGTATGCCAATCTAGGCTGAAGTTTAGTCGGCTTTGATTGATTTTGGGTCGGGTTAGTTTTTCCTGGCGTTTAAAATTAAATGTTACTAGAAGTATGGCCAAATAATGAAGTAAAAATTTGGGAGAGGATAGGATGCATACGAAGTATTGGGGAACAATATAAGGGAGGTTTACAGACTTTCTCTTTCTCAAGTCTGGACTCCTTTCCATAGTTCTAACCATCAATCTTTATCTTCAACTTGGTCTCCGTCTCTCCGATCTAGCCATTAGAGCTTCATCTTGCTTGTGTTTAAATCTTTGGTTTGGGATTCCTCTCTTTTTTCTTCTGTCACAAATTTGGCTATTTTGTCATTTTTATGCCTGCCTCAAACTATAGATTTTCCCCCTTTTTCTTTCTTTCCATTAAATTTGAGGATCGAAAATCAAAAGAGAAAGGGTTACAGTTAGATGCAGTCCTCTTTTTTATATCTGATGAAAACCCCGTCATTCTTAATTTTAATTTTTGTGAAACTCTCAGCTTTTTTTTTTCTTTTTGTTTTTATGTGTTAATTTCAATTGTTTTGTGGCTTGTGTCACTTGTGTGCAATGATCTCGATTTGATAGGGGTGGATGGGGTTTTTTAGAGTAGATTTTGCTTTATGATTGTCATGGGTTGAAATTGAGGAAATTCTTGCAGAATGATATCTATTAGAAAAAACAACATAACGATATTTGTTGGCCCAGTGCAGGTAATTTGTGCGAGACAATCTAATTGTTATTCTGTGATCACCAATTGAAATTGGTTAAGTGTTCGTTGGTGGTTTTCATGCTATGCTTATGAATCAAACTGAAACCATGGTGTAAACTGATGTACTTTCTTTTTGAGCTTATGTGTATGTGCGTGTTGGCTGTATCCTTGTTATGTCACTATCTTTAGTAACTAGTTTGTCTACTTGATCATCTCAACTCATATTGGTACATCTCATTTGCTATTTAGTGACTGAAATCTTGAATCAATTGGATTACGTTCAAATTTGGTTTGTCTATTAGACTTTGATGAAGAGATGTTTTGAGCATTTGGGTTTTTACTTCTTATAACTATTCTCTATTTTATTCAAATATAAGTTCTTATTTCCATTCAATGCAATTTGGGTTGCTATTATTTCCATTAACGTTTGCTGCAGAATTAGTTGGCTTATTGGCAGTAAATGATCTAGGATTCGTAGTTCATTGATCCCACGATAATTCCTTTGAATGGGAGAAGATCAAAGTTAATTTAACCAAATGGGGTGACTAGAGAGTGTTTGGTTGTGTAAAACATTATGCTGGGAAATTATTTTTATTTCGGGGTGAAAAAGTTTCCTCTGTGAAACAGTGTAAGGAAGGGAACTAGTTTGTAGTTATATTTTTCCTGATATAGTATTTTTCCATGGAGGAACATCAATTTTCCTTAAAAGTGTTTTCTGGCCAACCATTTAAAAAAGCTTTATTTATCCAGAGTAGTCTATTACTATTCCTTCAATTTTATGTTGCTCTTAGTTAGAATTTTGGAGAAATAGAGGGCAATTAAGGATAATGATGTATATAAAATAGTGGGTGGGTTGAAGCAACCCAATTAGTAAAGTGGGAACAACAATATGAGAGAAAAGGAGTGTTATTGTGTTTAATATAGTTGGGCATTCATTATCCAATAATAGGATTATCCTACATCAGAAGGTATTTTATGTATACTTTGTCTCAGGTTTTTGTTTTGAAAGGTAAAAGAAGTGGCTTACAGCCATAATGGTGGAGTTGGCTGCTGAGAAGCATGTCCAATATGTCATATCTGTCGAGAAGGTTTGCTCAATCTAGTCTTTTCTTTTCCTGTTTAATGTCTTGGGTCTGTGGTTATTTTTTGGGGTGTAAATCTTTTGCTACTTGTGACCCTAGAAAAAGGATGGATTTGAATCGGTGGTCATGGAGCACCTTAGGATGAATGGTGCTTATTGGGGACTGACAACGCTGGATCTTTTGGGAAAGCTTCAAGTTGTGGATCAAGATGAAGTTATTTCATGGGTGATGCAGTGTCAACATGAGTCTGGTTTGTGGTTGTTATTATTAATAATTCAAATTTCCACTAAATCTTGTTTCTGCTTATTCTTTTATGAAATACATTCTTACTCTTATCTATGGAAAATTGTTGGTTGAAATTCTCCAATACATTCTTACTCTTATATATGGAAAATTGTTGGTTGAAATTGTCCAATTAAACTGCCTAATTTAGAACTGGTATGAAAAAAATTGTGGAATGTCAGCCTCTTAGTAAGAAATACAAGGCTTCCTACATCTACTAAAACCACATCTACACTGTACGTAGCTAGCATGCTCCTAGATTTTTATCCTGTTTCCATAAATGCTTTTTACAAGAGTAATATGTCATATGCTTACAATGACTGGACTATGCAGGTGGATTCGGTGGTAATATCGGACATGATCCACATATTCTTTATACTCTCAGTGCTGTTCAAGTTCTAGCTCTGTTTGATAAGATACATATTCTTGACGTTGCTAAGGTGACAAATTGTATCCTTTATGACGTGATGAAGTTTCAAGTTATTCTTAAACTATTTCTGAGCCTTGGAATCTGTTGTTTTTTCTGCTCATTAATTTTATGTATGGTTAAGATATCATACTATTATATAAAATTGCTGATATTTTGCTGAAATCTACTGTTTGTATCTGGAGGAGATGAGAAGTTGCCTGTTGTAAGTTGTGACCTTTACTCAGCTCTGTAGTTAAATCCTGTATGTATGTAATCGAATGTTGCCAATTTACTATCTTGATAATATAATTGGGATAAACAGCTTCTTTTCTGTTGTCAAGTAACTCAATCACACAGCAAGGGCACTCTGGTTTGTTCATGGGACCTTAACCTTGTAACTCAGATATTGTGGAGCTGCAGAATGAGGATGGATCATTTTCGGGAGACATCTGGGGTGAAGTGGATACTAGGTATGTCTTCAAGTCTCTGTCTTGTCCTTTTACACGCCTCTTTTCTTTAAATATAGAGAAGCTTACTCAGGTTTATCCATATTTCTAGATTTTCATATATTGCAATCTGTTGTCTGTCATTGCTACATCAATTGGACAAAATTGATGTGGAGAAGGCTGTGAACTACATTGTAAGGTGCAAAAACCTTGATGGGGGATTTGGATGCACGCCTGGTGGGGAATCACATGCAGGACAAAGTATGTTGGCGCACTTTGATAGTGATTTATAGGTTATATGACATTCTTGATGTTACCTATATAGATGAAGTTGGTCTTCTATCATTCATTATGTCTATTCACTCTATTGTATATTTGTACATGCCCTCAACAATTGTCATGGAATATAGTTGCTGTCCATTGAACTATCACTGGTAAGTGCAAGGCCAGAATTTTGGTCTGAGGAATCTGTGTGTTGCTATAGGCCTATAGCTTTGTCCTTTTTTTTTTCCCCTCCATTCACCTCGATCTTACCCTCCCGTGAATATAGCTGAATTAAAACTTCTGACTTATCAATATCTCAAATCTTATGATCTAGGAATATTATAAATCTTATGATAATGTAAATGCACTTATCAAGCATTATACTAACTGCAAGTCTGCAACTGCTTTGGAGGAAGTCGAAGCACACTGCTTGGGAGATTTATGTTTTAGTTTTCAATATACTGATTATATACTGTACAAATCAAGATGATGTAAGTCATGTGAGGAAGCTATGGAATAATAATATAGTTGATAGGGTATGATCCTCTGATTCCTCTCTTGCTTTATGGAGTGTTTCAATAGATTGACATTTGCAGTGTTACCACTCTCGCAGATGCATACTCTTTGAGCCTTACTAATTCTGGTTACTATTTATAAGCTCTTGGTTACTATGCTTTTTTTTCTACTCTCTTTTTCACTATTTATTGGTGAGAGTCAAATTCTATTGGTTTATCACTGCAGTTTTTTGCTGTGTTGGTGCTCTTGCTATAACGGGCGCTCTGCATCATGTTGACAAGGACCTCTTGGGTTGGTGGTTGTGTGAGCGCCAAGTGAAGTCAGGAGGTCTAAATGGTCGACCAGAGAAGCTTCCAGATGTGAGATATCCATTTCTTGTACAAATTAAAAAATGGAAAACAAACGTCTGCACTCTTAACTCCTGAGATCCTCAATCATATGCTTCTGAATGCTCTGTCATTGTCCTGCTTTCAGGTCTGCTACTCATGGTGGGTACTTTCTAGTTTGATTATGATCGACAGAGTTCACTGGATTGACAAAGAAAAGCTTGTTAAATTTATCTTAGACTGCCAGGTTTTCATTTCAATTCTAGATTCTGGACTTGTTAAAAGAGTCAATTTTTGCATTTTTGTTTTCAGTTGCTTGCTCATGACCTCTATTCTCATATCTCAGGATTTAGAGAAAGGAGGAATCTCAGATAGGCCAGATGACGCTGTCGATGTTTTCCACACTTACTTCGGAGTTGCAGGTAACATGCTACTTTAATGCCATTATTCTTTTCTCTTCAAAACAGGTTTTTCGCAATTAGTGTTTTTTGGTTTTCAGGCTGATTTTTAATTTTTTTTTATTTTTTATTTATTTCATGTTGGCATTGGTAGGTCTGTCACTTCTTGAGTATCCTGGAGTGAAAGCCGTAGATCCTGCCTATGCATTACCAGTTGATGTGGTGAATAAGATTCTAATTGGCTCATAAAACCATCTTATGATATATTGGAGCTATGCCTGTTTGGATCTACAAGAACTTAGACTTGCACGTCGAGTTCTCTTTCTGTTACTGAGAATAATGGGCTATCGAATTTGATGGTTTTAGGGAAGAAAACAAATTGTGGTGAACTATCTTGTTTTATCATAATTGAACCTTTATCAATTGGCTTTCGCTATGGTTTGACTATAATGTGATGAGAAGTTCACCGCTATTGTGCTAACAACATGCTTTAATCTAATTCTTCCTTCTCTATATAGCCACAATTAGCAAGGACAAATTGAAGATACTGAGTACTGTGTTTTATTAATCGTTGTACAATACCATAAGAAAATTTTACAACCAAATTAAAAAAAAAAAAAACGCCAACCCCCTGCCCTTAGTTGATACATAACCCACATGAACAGGCGACTATTAATTCTAGACGGGGGGTATGTAGGCTTATCATGCAGGACTCTTCTTATCGCTAAGTACACATCTAAAATGGTGAGCTTGCTGGGTCATCCCATAACATTTTCCGGTCACATCCCCTGAACCATCCTCGTATTCATTACAGTCTACCAATTCTTGATTGCTATGTTTCCCTCCGTCTAATCGTAAACCATGACCGTCGCATGACTGCGGTTGAACCATCTTAGTGTTAGCAACATTATCACCATGAACATTATCACCATTTCTTTGACGCTGTTTCTCCTGCTTTTGGTTTGATTTATCTTGATCTTCTATAATTTTGGCTTGTGAACTCATTTTCTATCTATAGTTTGTGGATGAAGTGAGTAGGTAACACTTTAAAATGGTTTGTTTTTCAATTTTCAAAGGTTCTTAATATCAATATCTATAACGAGTAAACAAAGGTAGGATGTGTCAATCGAATATGAGTAGCAAGATCATATTACAAAGCTGTGAAACGTGTGGATTCCAATTAAGTGGCACGTTGCTTGGAAATTTTGCAGGCTATGAATTGAGATGGCAGTTATAGATTTGTTAAACAAATAATGCAACTATGTCATGCTTTTGGAGTAGCTTTAAGTCTTTAAGTTGAGAAGTTATGGATAAGTAAATCCAAAGGAAAGAGTGTTGAAAAACACAATCTTTCCTTTTTTTTTTTTTTTTTTTAAAATAGTAAATTTAACACACAATCTCAACTTGTTTGGTGAATAATAATAATAATAATAATAATAATAATAATAATAATAATAATAATAATTTTAGAAAATTATTTTACACAAAAAAATTATATATTTATAAAAGGTTATCCTAGGCTCCTAGTGATTTAGCATGATATAATAAATCATTCATCAACATTATGAGTTAATTACCCCTTAGAAATTGACTTAAGAGTAACACATGTCATCGCAATTTTGTAATGTGATAAAGAAAGAGGTCTGAGAGTATCTGTATGAATCTCTTAGTAACGACTAGCAAATCTAGAGGTGGTGGCCAATTTGAGACAACCAAACAATCTTATCTAAATATTGTTGCTCCAAGAATTAGTGTTCAACAAAGTTATGATGAGTGTTAACCTTAAGCTTTTATAGAAATTACATGAGTTATCGAGTAGGCTTAAACCTATATTTTTAACTGGAAAACTGAAGTTTTGCTTTTGGTAAACTTATAATGTTAACCAAATATAGAATTTAGGAAAGCGACACTAATTCACCATTTACTTCAATAGTATTATTACACGTGATATCTATCCAACCATCTTTATTGTAACAATTAACCGGTTAAGTAAGCTACTTTTCATGTTACGTGTAGAATATTTTACATATTCTAAACCAATTAGTTGGTTAAATAAGCTATTTCAACCACCTAACAACAAACATTTAACACTCGAACACCATCTCCTTACCAAAAAAGAAGAAAATATATATAACCAGTTGATAACTACTTTGTACTCCCTCCGTTTAGCATTAGTTGCAACACTTTCCATTTTCGGCCGTTTCATATTAGTTGCAACACTGCTATAGTTGGAAATGACCTATCATTATTTTATAATTTCTCTCTCCCGCTAACCCCACTTTCACAAATATTTTATTATTTCTCTTTCCTACCAACCCAACCCACATTACTTCTTTTTTTTTTTATCATTATTTTATTATTATTATTATTATTATTATTATTATTTGAAGCAATTATTATTATTATTATTATTATTATTATTATTATTTCTATCTCTTACTAATAATACTTTATATTATAATCCTATAAGTCTAGTCTATAATTTTCTTAAACTATGAGTCAAACCTACTGTTGCAACTAATGCGAAATAAAGGGTGTAATTGATAGATATTAAAGACTACTCCGTACTATTATGAATTTAATAACTACATTAGTATGATAAATAAAGAGATATACCTTCAGATATTTATTGATCCTACTCTGTATTAATTAATCAATAATATTAGTGGGAACAATTAATCACAAATTATCAGTACAACAAAATTAGAATTAATTAATTAATTATTAATTATACAATAATATAGGCATAGTCTAGTAGGAGGTATAGGGAATAGGGGCTAGGGAAGAAGAATGAAGAAAATGGTGAAATTTGAACGGCTTGTATTCACTTTTATTTTTTTCAATTTCGAGTGCGTGTCTCTCCAGCTGACCTGTCTTCTCTCTCCTCTTTTTTAATTTTTTCCTCCATTTTTACTTCACTGACACACTCTTCCTTCGTCTCAATCTTCCCCTTACTTCTTCTTCGATTTCCCTCTTTTCTCTTTCAAATTTCCCCTCTTTTAATTTCAATTTCTTCCAAATTCAGTTCAATCTACAATTTCAGCTCAACCTTTTCTGATATGATTATCGATTTTGCTACTGTTTCAGCTAATTTTAGGGTTATGTTCTTCTTTTCGATGTTTGTTTCCATCTTTTCTTCTTCTAGGGATTTGATCGTTTTCCCCACTTTCAAGTAGCGTCGATTTTGATATGATCGTGTTCTTTTGCTTCGATTATTTGATGATTTCGCTATTTCTGATCATTCTAGGGTTTATTTTGGATTGATCTTATTGCTACTGTTCATTCAGGTTTGTCAATTGTTTGTTCTTCTTTTTGTATGCATTTTTTAAATTTATATTTGTATCAGATTTTTGATTATTACTCCAATGATGCAAGTTTGCTCACCTTACTTTGAATTTGTGCTGCTAAAAGATTTGTGGTTTGATGATTAATGCAATCGCCTTGAATTTCGCTCTATAATTTCTTCGAATGGCGAAAAATTGAACTTAATCTAATTTCTCGTGAATCGGCGGTTTGAGTTTCATTGGTTGAATGTAGCGTGTTAGTGTATGCTTTGAGTTTCATTGGTTGAATGTAGCGTGCTAGTGTTAGTAGTGTATGCTTTGAGTTTGATGAAATGTTGTCATTGTGATTCTATGGTTTTAATTTCGTGTACGTTTGATCTTTCGACGTCTCTAGGAGGGATTGCTGTGAGAAATTTTAAGCTCAGATGGTCTGATGATAGTTTAGGGAGTGGGAATTAATGTTGAAGCTTGTCATTATGTAAGCTATTTGTTGCCGCAAATGTAGTTTGATTCCTTAATAACTTAGTATTTATGGAGCTATGCTGTTCATACTCTTTGTTTCACAAGTAACACCTATGTTGGAGGCTTGCTTATGACCCTTCAAGTGCATTAGCTGAGTGTAAGCCGCTATGTCATTGCTGAAGTTACTTCCAATCTGACATTTTGGACATGCCCATGTTTGCTAATGCGAGTGATAGAACATAACTGGTTTAGCCATTAATATTTTCCTCCATTCTTCTTGGTTGATTCTTTGATGTTTCAGATGTTTGCCTAGAAAAATATTCCAGATTACTTTTGTTTTACCTATTTTCATTGAAGTATCATCATCAGCATCATCAAGGGTATGCTGTATGCAGTATTTGACAGTGAAAAGTATGAATGGGAATTTTTCATTTTTATTTTTAATAATCTTGCTATTCCATATATTATCATTATTGTTAGGCTGGGATTAACTTACAATAGAGTTGGTCACTGATTTTATATTTTACTTTGATCCCAATGACTTGATTTTGGTGAAAATTCATAATTGGCATATCGATTTTCTCTGTTGACCACATTGATTTATATGTGGCACTGCAGGGAGCTTTGGCTGAGCAGAGAAATTCTAGAAGATGTTGTATATATGGAAATAAACCTGAGCCAGAACTTGAAGATATCACTAGATCAGGTCTGGTCTATGCCAGGGCCTTGAAATTATAAAGTGGCTATGAAGGTGACAGAAACTGCACAAATTCCCACCAAACAATTTGAAGAGGCTATTTGGTCTATGAAGCACTACTTAGACACTGCTAGGGTACACTACTTGAGTGCACTTGCTGGGCTGAGTGGTGGAAAGCATGAACAAACCAAAATTTCTCCCAGTAGTGATTCTCCTTTGCTTTTGGAAGACCATGTCTCCAACCAAGCAGCAGAAGCTGAACAAGCATCTACTGCAGAACAAGAAGTGCCAGAAAAGACCTTTTCTGAAATGGATGTACAAATGCAATTGCCTAACGGAGTCCTCAAAGCATCTGAAAGGGATTTGGAGGCTGTGAAGTTACAATTTAATAAAACTCTTGCTAGAAATACTAAATCCCAAATTACGGAAATGATCTGTAAACTTGGGAGTTTAGGAAATGAAATGGACATCAATGATGCTGCCAATTTTAATATTACAAGGACCGTTCCATCAGAGTCTGATGATGCTAAGGAGCCACTGCCAAAGACAGCGGTAGAGAGGAGCTCCCTCCACAGGATGCTAGAGTCTCTTAAAACTAAACTTGAAAATTTGAAGAAAGAACATGCAGAACTAAGTGATATTGATGCAGGAGCAGAACCTGCTGCTAGGAATCTGCATTTTAGTCTCTTTAGAAGCGAACCTGAGAAAGGAGATTGTTTTGCTAATAGAGATAAAGCTAGAGAAACTTCCGAAGAAGTAATTCAGGATAAAGACGGTATATATGATCCGAATGTTAAAGCAAGAGATCTGAAAAGGGAACATGATGCTGCTAAATTTTCTGAAAACGCGGTGAAGAGGCCAAGAATTGTGCACGATGTTGACAAAGAAAATGGTTGTATAGTGAGCTCGGTTGATCTGGCTAAGATCTTTCCCGAGAAAATTCATCCTGCATGCGTGTCGACGTCTGAGTCTAGTGCCCGTGTCATGATTTCTGAAGATGAGCTTGAGTCATCAAGCCAGCAAGTGGAGAAGTCAGATAAG